ATCTACAAGGAACTTAAACAAATTTTCATAAAAAAAACAATCCCATCGAAAAGAGGGAGAAGGATATGAACAGCTCTTTTTCAAATATATGAAAAAGAGCTCATCATCACTGGTCACACTGGTCATTAGAGAAATGAAAATCAAAACCACAATGAGATACCATCTCACACCAGTTAGAATGGCAATCATTAAAAAGTCAGGAAACAACAGATGCTGAAGAGGATGTGGAGAAATAGGAATGCTGTTACACTGTTGGTGGGAATTTAAATTAGTTCAACCACTGTGGAAGACAGTGTGGCGATTCCTCAAGGATCTAGAACTGGCAATACTATTTGATCCAGCAATCCCATTACTAGGTATATACCCAAAGGATTATAAATCATTCTACTGCAAAGACACATGCACATGAATGTTTATTCCAGCTCTAGTCGTAATAGCAAAGACTTGGAACCAACCAAAATGGTCATCAATGATAGACTGGATAAAGAAAATGTGGCACATATACGCCATTGAACACCATGCAGACATAAGAAAGGATGAGTTCATGTTCCTTGCAGAAACATGGATGAAGCTGGAAACCATCATTCTCAGCAAACTAACACAGGGACAGAAAACCAAAGACTGCAAATTCTTACTCATAAGTGGGAGCTGAAAAATGAGAACTCATGTCCTTTGCAAGGACACGGATGAAACTGGAAACCATCATTCTTACCAAACTAACACAGGAACAGAAAACCAAACACTGCATGTTCTCACTCATAAATGCAAGCTGAACAGTGAGAACACATGGACACAGGGAGGGGAATATCACACACCAGGGCCTGTTGGGGGTGGGGAACTGGGGGAGGCATAGCATTAGGAGAAATACCTAATGTAGATGATGGGTTGATGGGTGCAGCAGACCATCATGGCATGTGTATACCTATGTACACACCTATGTAACAAACCTGCGTGTTCTGCACATGTATCACAGAACTTAAAGTGTAATAAAAAAAATCATCATTTTTATATTTTCTCTGAAAATAAAAACAAATTCCTTGGCAAATCAATCTAGTTTGAATTTGAAAAATAATTAATACCTCAAACTTTCTCCTTCCCATAGACCCAGTTTGGGGTTTTGACATTTGCAACTCTCCTAGGGAAGAATAAAATTCTGGCCCAATGGTTATATCAGTACTGAAGTTTCAAGCTAGAAGCTGGTTAATTCTAGACATGGTCTACAATCCATAATTAATAGATCCTAGTTATCATGAATATATCTGATTAGCCAACTATACTGTAAATGCTTTAGTGGGAAGAGCTAATTTTTGTCTACTTTTTGACTGCTAAACTAAATATGCATCATAATAATTTGTATATCATTTATAGTTAAAAGCTTTCCTAATTATACAGTTAAAACACAGAATGATAGCTTTTTATACTTTACATTTTTGCTTTCTACATTTTCTAGGAAAAACCTAACATTAACAGAATATTTGGACTTCACATTTGCCAATGAAATAGTCATTGTATCGATAATGAAATAGTTTCCTGAAGTTCTGTTTCTACTTGTATATTTAAATTCTCAACAAGAAAGTACACAAATCCTTGATGAAATTTACATAAGTTCCACAAAATGTAAATTTCTTTCAAGAAACTTTAATAATTTCTTTATAACTAGAAATGTAAAAGGATGCATGATAAGAGTTACAAATTAAACAAAAGACAAACCTAAAAATGGTAGGAAATTTAGTGCTAAAAATGCTACTATTTAAAGGTGCTAATCTTCTTGCATGTATGTCTAAATAAATAGAAGATGTTTCCAAGTTTTTATGATGGATTTCACTTAAGTTTTTGTTTTGAAAAAAAACAAAAAAGGAAATATCTTAAGCTTTCAGGAAGTAAAAAAAGAGTTTAGGCTCATAAAAAAAGTCTTTGTAGTCCTGCTTAATGTTCATGCCATCAGTTAAATTAGATGTGACAGGACCAGTAAGTCTGGAGATTTTCACTACTAGTGTGATTGCCTTGAAGTATTCTGTCTCCTTCGAATCTCTTTGGCTCCATTTCCCAAGGAAGTTGACTCCATGTTAATCCTGTTGACTCTTTCACATTGGTTTTAAATAGTCTGTGTCCAGCCCTAGGGAAGGGAATGCTCTCTGAAAACTGCTAGTCCATTTAGCCACCCAGCCATCATCCTTTTCCTAAGAAAGAATGCTAATTACAACAAGAGATTGCTTATATCTTAACACCACCATGAGAGTTGAAAGAGTCAATTACTTATTTCACAATTGTGTATGAGGTTAAAGAGTATGACCTCTCAAAGGTCTTTAAACTGAGAATTGTCACATGCAAAGAAGAAATGGTTTGAAATGTGGATGAAGCAAGGCAACATATTTTCATCACCCATAACACAATCACACTTTTAAGCAAGCTGGTGTTTAGTTAAATTATAGGGATCTGAACCCCTTATCATATGCATTTGATACTCAGAATTTAATTGGTTGACCTTGAACATACTTTTTTATCTAATTTTAAAAATAACTTTATAATAACATCTCAATTATTTGCCATGCAATTACATACAGGTCAAGATTTAAAACTTTTCCCTGTTTTTGCTTCAGTGGTGAAAATATTGGTATTGGCTTGTATGTACTCTTCATTATTCATACAACTTTTACAGTTGATGTTTTGTTTAAATAGAAAAACGATTTAAATTAAGTCCTGAAAGAAATAAACATTGTAAATGCATAAGATTAAAATAAATTACTATTTTTAAAAGTACATAAGTTTTATTAATAACCTAGGTCAGAACTTTAGATGATGAATGACAACAGACTACAGTTTAGTAGGAAAGAATTGCTTTTCAAAGGTAGAGCTCTTTTTTGAGATATATTCAGCTAGTATGAAAACTGTATACTTTAAAGCAGCACTCTTATATTACTTACAATTTAAATAAATCTAATTTTCATATTATTACCCTGATCACCGTTCAATTAAATGTTTTCCCCACTTAGACTTCCAGTATATATATATGAAATAATTAGAGTAAGATAAAATTATTACTATGTAAAATACTAACATGTTTATAGCGCTCTCATCAAGTTTACAGATCATTGATAAAGCATCTGGTTTCTAACCAATTTCTACTCGAGATCATTATGTTTCTCATCTTTAATTGTTTTGTTTTCTAACCTAATGAAATAGAGTGGAAAAAAAATTCTCTTGGGATATATTCACAGAAGGCCTTTTAGTAAACAGTAATAATAGCAAGTTAGACTAAACTATTTGTAGGGAAAGGTAAAAGCTGATATTCCTTCCCAGGAGCTAGTTTTAAGCTAGGGAGCAATTTGAGATACCATTGGTACATTCCAGAACTCCCCTTGGTCTTAATTAGAACAATTGAAAGAAACTGTTAATTTTGATCAGCTGGTGAAAAACCCTGCTGTTGCAGTCAGTCATTTCTATAAAGTTCAACTTTCAAGTTCATAAGCAAAAAGGTTAGATTAAAGGATTTTTTCCTCCCAGTAAATCATTAGCACAAATGCATCATTTCAAAATTAATACTTTAAGATTGAGCTGTATTTTAAGGTTATAGAGTTATTAGTTTAAAATGTGACACACGACGTATGAGTAATTCATTTCACAGTGGGTTGCATATTTTTAGTTTCCATATTTAGAGCTAAATCGAATATTTTAATTTGTGGAAAATCTTTTGGAAATATATACGGGTATTCATACTACGTATCTATATAATAATCACAAATAGCGTTTTAGGGAAAAGGTAATGGAGGGAGGCCAGACAATGTGTTAGAAAAGGCGACAGTGAAGGGGGCAAATAAAGTAGGAATGTGGTGGGTGAGATGCTTTCAACAGCTTTTCTGTTTGTAACACAAAACCAAACCATGAGGCAGTGGGAAGAGAAAGCTAGCTAAGAGGGGACACAGTTACCCGCAACACAAGATTTCTCATTGACGGTCGCATACAGCAGAGCGAGTGTAAATATACTTACCTCAGAGATCTGGGACTGATGATGGATAAATTCCATTTCTGGTATTGTTGATTTGCTTCTCCCGCCTATGTGGATGTTGATTACTTTTGCTAGACTGATAATCTCCAGGTGTGTGTACCTGATGGTACATACGACATTCTCTTTTGAGATTCAGGAGGACAACATTGAAACTTCCCTGTGTATTTTGTGCTTTCTGTCATATTTTTTCTGTAGGATTAATAATATGCATATTGTATTAATACAGTAGTACTTGTATGTTTACACACAAATACATAAATATAGTAGTGCCCAATGTAAAAGATTTGGAAGACTACTGATCTATATAATGATTATGTTTCAATATCGGCAAAGTCCCTTCAAGCCAAACATTTATGATTCTAAGTATGTGATGGTGTGACTCTACATGTTTGTATTCAGAATAAATAGTTTTATATTTGCATCACATGGAGGGATTGCTTTCTATTTGCTGTTTAGTAACGTCAATTAAATACAATTTGTACTCATATACCTTCACTATCTTGCTGGCAATTTGGGTGCATAACTCATTTCAACCTTTGAACACTATGATTCTTGTTTAATCACTATTGAGAAGGAATGTTTCCTAAGGGGCTACAGGCATAGCTTCATTTGCATACTTAACTCAGAAACTGTAGAACATTAGGGCAGTAGTTAAAAATCCATTAGCATCTCTATAAGCATCCCTAAATGGGAGTAAGGGGGAGACAACATAAAAAGCAGCAGCTGCTGGATGAATCCACTTACAAAGGCTGAGCAGAACCAGAGGCTTCATACCAGAAGAAAGTGTGCAAAATGACTCAATTCTAATCTGCAGTACCAAGGACTGTACCCATGGAAGCCAGCTCCAAACTGTGCTTTAACCAATATGCAAACTTCATTTTCTCAGTCAGAGTTATACTAGTATAACTGTAAGAATAGACTGTCTCCTCTCTGTTCCCTGATATGGTTTGGCTGTGTCACCACCCAAATCTCATCTCAAATTTCAATCCTTGTAATCCCCACCTGTGGAGTGCGGGATTTGGTGAGAGATGATTGGATCCTGAGTGTGTTTTCCCTCATGCTGTTCTCGCGGTAGTGAGTTCCCACGAGATCTGATGGTTTTGTAAAGCAGTTTCCACAGCTCTTGCAAGCTCTCGCTCACCTGCCTCCACATAAGATGTGCTTCTTCCACTGCTGCCATGATTTTGGAGTTTCCGGAGACCTCCAAAACCGTGAGTCAATTAAACCTCTCTACTTTATAAATTACCCAGCCTTGGGTATGTCTTCATAGCTGTGTGAAAATGTACTAAAACGTTCTGAAGCTGAGACTTAGAACATAGGCTTTTGTATGTAGTAAATTAATGACATTTTGGAATGGCTGGTTCACAGCTTCTCTGGTCTTAAGGAAGTAGCTGCTAAAGTATGTGTAACACATTTTGCTTTCTAGTGGATAAAAAGATTTAAACCATAGCAACAAGGATAATCTGGGAGATTATTTGATAATGCTAGGTCCTAAATCTTATCCCCAGATTTTGAGATCTCTATGTAGTACAGGGATGTGTCTTTTGAAAAACCAACTGAGAAAATTTGCATGCAATTATCCAAAAAGCACTAAAAAAAAATTCTTTTCTCCAATTCCTTATTCAAAACCTTTAGAAAGAGATATATTTTGCAATTCTGAAATTTAGAAAGATAGATTATGCATATACCACATATTTCATAATATAGCCAGCATATTCTAGGAGAGCATGCCAATATCAATCAGCGTTCAGTTGAGAAAAAAGAAATCTCAGTTAAGTAAAAGAAGCCAGATACAGAAAGTCAAATACCACATGATCACATTTATATGTGGAATCTAAACTGGTCAATGGTGGTTGCTAGGGAGAGGGGAAGGGAGAAATGGAGAGCTGTGTCAAAGGGTACAATATTTCACTTATGCAAAACAAATAAATTCTGGGGATCTAATGTGCAGCATGCCGAGTGCGATGGTTTGAGTGTTTCTCCTCAAAAATTCAGGTATAGAAATTCAATGGCCTGTGTCATAGTATGAAGAGGTGGAGTCCTTAAAGGTGATTAGGCCATGAGGGTTCCTCTCATAAGACCCTTATAAAAAAGGCTTCACATGCTGTTTGGCCCTCTTGCCATTCTGCCTTCCATCATGTAAGGATACAGCATTTTTGTCCTTCCAGGAATGCAGCAAAAAAGTGCCATGTTGGAAGCACAGAGAAGCCCTCAACAAACAACGGAATCAGCCGGCACATGTATCTTGGACTTTCCACTCTGCAATTATGAGAAATAAATTTCTGTTCTTTATAAATTATCCTGTCTTGGGTATTTTGTTAGAATGGCACAAATAAACCAAGGGACTATAGCTAACAATACTATATTGTATGCTTACAATTTGCTAAGAGGATAGATCTTAAATATTTTCACTGCACAAAAATAAAAAAGAAAGACAATAGTAACTATGTGAGGTGATGGATATGTTCATTAACTTAATTGTGGTGATCATTTTACAATATATGCAGATATGAAAACATCAAATTATATACCTTAAATGTGTACAATTTCTATTTGCTGCTTATACCTCGAGAAAGCTGAAAAAAGAAATCTCACTAAAGAAAGTTTAACATAGATTAGTTACACAGATGTTGGAGATATAAAAGCATAAAGAAGAATGCATTGAGAAACTCAGAGAAAATAATAGCAAGAAGAGTTTATCAGAATATAAAATATTGGAAAAGAGCACTGCTCCACTGAAGCTATGATGCTGATTCTAGATGTACCAAAAGTACCTGAAAATGAAAATGAGCAGTTAAAATGTTTCCGTTAAGAAAATTAACAAATATAAAGAAGCAAGTCCTTATTCCCTCCTCCTGCCTGATTTTTGTGCCACGTACTGGTACCAATATGACGGGAAACCAGTTGGCATAGGAGAAATGTAGTTTGGATAAGTTTAAGCCCCAGCTTTTCAGAGCCAATATGGAGGAAAGGATCAGAATTACTAGACAACAGCTTACCAACAGGTTAATATGTCCATAACAAAAATAACAAATATTGACCCTAAGTAGGAATAGTAAACAAATAGTTTATATCTGTTCAGTTGAGGTTTTGCAGTCAAGTGAGTTTCCTGCAAACTTAAAAGAATTAGAGCTTTTGGGATTTTGAAGTTATGAATAAACTGGTAAGAACTTATACTGTGCTATGTTAGAAGAAAACACGTAATATGCTCTCTTAGTATTCTTGAAAGATTTTCTCTTTGCAAGCATTTTGCATGAATCACTGTGGACATAGAGAGATAGACTTCTCTGAGAATAAGCACATGGAGATCTGATCTGTCCTCCTCCTCTTGAGTGCAAGATTGCCTGCAGAAAGATGAGTTACCTTCTGCTCTTTCAGGTCATAAATAGAAACTGCACAGGCCCCTTCTACATGGGAAGGCCTGTCCAAGGTTACCTTTACCTGTGACTGGGATTTAGTAGTGCAAACCCATGTAGCAAAGAGATTAAAAGCTACGTTTTCCAATTTGACCTTTAGCAGTCATAAAGATAATATTTTGGCTTTTTTTTTTTTTAAATAATTGAAGGTAGAAAAGAGTGGTACAAATATTTGGAGTGCCCTAGAATAACTTATTGTTTAAGATAATAATGTGAATTTTAAAATTCATGAATAGAAAAGGAACTTTTGAAAATATTGTCTACTTCTGAATGGCATCAGCCTATACTGTCTTGGAACATGATTGATCCTTGGGAGATGTATGCAATAATGCTCTGTCCTGTAAGTAAAGCAGTTAAAGCATGAGGTGTGTTGAAATCCAATCTAGTTGGTCCTTACTCACTCCGGATTTTCTTTCAAAACCTGGAGCACAAAAAGCTCTTTTCATCTTCTCTTACATTTAGCATATGGTGTTATAATCAGCATTTATTGTGTTGCTGAAATCCTGAGATAATTTCTAGAGTAAATGACTCACACTTGAGAAATGTGCCAATGGAACAGGAGAAAGGATCCAGGATGAGGCCCTAACCTGCGAGCAGGGTAAAATTTAATGCAAGAACATTTAGAAGGACTTGGGTGGCAGTGAAAATCTGAAAGCAAAGGAAGGTGATTAGAAACTAAAGGCACGGGGGGAAAGTAATGCCTTTGGGAAGAGGAGCTTGATCTTTTATTTGACAGTCCTTTGGACTCTCAAGGAAAATCTGTTTATATTAACCTTGCACCTTTGACCAGATTTAGCCATTCACCATGTTTGCTAAAATTCTATTTATAAAGCTCCCTAAACCCTGAGCTTAAAAGCTGTGCATGTATTTGGCCAGCCAAGGTGGGTGTCTTGGGTTAACTGAAGGAGTGATGAATAGTAAAGTAGCATAAGTTTTCATATCTATATTCCTTTTCTGATGCCTGTGAAAAGTAACATCTTTTTGGAGTCTTGACCTTGGGTTTCCAGGTTATGACCAGAAGTACAATGAGTACTAACATACAACAAAATTGACTGTAATAGGTGGGATAAAAGCACAGACCAGTGAAGGAATGAAGATCAACAATTAAATTTTCCTATGCTAGAAGATGCTGACATAAGAACCAGGTGGGGTACATGCTTGTTTTCCAATTAATGAAATAAATTCCATAAAACCTGAGACTGCTAAATGCAAAAGCACATTCTGAGTTTCCCAAAATCCTTGGACATGTGCATATATATATATATATATATATATTTTTTTTTTTTTTTTGAGATGGAGTTTCTCTCTTGTTGCTCAGGCTGGAGTGCAATGGTGCGGTCTCGGCTCACTGCAACCTTCGCTTCCTGGGTTCAAGTGATTTTTCTGCTTCAGCTTCCCCAGTAGTTGGAATTATAGGCACCCACCACCACGCCCTTCTAATTTTTGTATTTTTAGTAGAGATGGGGTTTCACTATGTTGGCCAGGCTGGTCGCGAACTCCTGACCTCAGGTGATCCACCTGCCTATGCCTCCCAAAGTGCTGGGATTACAGGTGTGAACCACCACCCCCGGCCCTCCACAGATATTGTTAAGGAGTGCAGATACAGTGTATTGACAGGATTTTGCTCAATCCATAGGTGATTTAAGAAACTTGAAGCTACTTTCTAATTACCAGGAAGACATTCTCCAATTCAAATAGATCCATCTGCAACCCAAGAAAAGAAGACAAAATTAAATAAAGGAGAAATTAAAGAGTAATACAAGGAGACTAGAGAGGCAGAGTTGGGGGAAAGAAAATATTTCCGGAGAGTCCATATCCAAAGTGAACCAGAGCATATTATCCCTGAGTGCTCCCTCCTCTTCTTGAGTTCCCTCATTTTCAAGTTTATTATCAAGTAATTGTCTGTTCACACCTCTCTTTACTATCCTTTTGTTATAACCCAATTGCCCCAAAGAAAATTCAGTTTCAGAACCACTGCAAGGAGGCAGAAATCTACTCATAATTAAAGAGTATCATGGTTAATGCCTATTTTTATGTTTGAAATAAATATCATCAAAAATACATAATTTTAAATTTAATGCAATCTGTCTATTTATTTAAAGCTCCTCAAGCCACTTAGAAGTCGAAACGTTTATTATGTTATTGAATGAATAAGAATTTCTCACTTGATCATAAGCTTACATCTGTTCCTATTTCTTCTATAAGTAGCATTGTCAGTGTCCTTGCTTCTTCAGAAATAAAAAGAAAGATAAATGAATATAGTCCTTGAATCCAGAGAGTTGAAATATATACTAGAAAGATAAAAACAGCAGTGTTGTTAGCTATTTGATTCAAAGTTATTGGGACAACATTCTTCTGTCAGTGTATAAATTCAAGAGTCACATTTGTATGATAAGGGTGGAAAAATATTGCACAAATTATTTTGTCTGTGTACATAACATCATTGCCTGCTATGGCTGTCTATATAGGAGTTGGGATAGCTGCTTTCCTAGAGAGGAAAGAGATGTTCAAACATCTTATTTTCTCGATACCTCATAAATATGTACAAATACGTATCAATCAAAACATTTTAAAAGTAATAAAAAATAAGTGAAAGTCTTTATTTCTGAAAAATCACTAAAGCAACAAGATAAAGAATTGTGCTCTTGCTAACCAATCTGCCTCAAGGTTCCTGTATATCTCATTCCTACAAAAAAAGAAAAAAAAGTAGAAGGAAAAAAAAATGAGTTGTTCTGTTCCTTACCATTTTTTCTGCTAAAGTAAACTGAATGCTAATTGGTTGGAATTTTGAATAG